CAATACCATCGAGGTTTGGTTAAATGAAGAATCGAGTCTAGAAGAAAGGATCGTCCAAAACCTGCAGCTGCAAATTGCTGCATTAGACGTTGTTGATGATGGCAACGACATGAGGCTCTCGGGGCCCGAATTTTGGGCGATCTGGATCCTTGCGGAGTGAGAGAAACTACGGGGTATGATGGCAATGATTGCATGATTCCATCTACATACTGAAGGCGTCGTCGAGCAAATCCTCACCCCGTATTCAGAAGACGATGGCGTCAACGAAAAAAAAAAAAAATAAAAATAAATAAATAATAAAATGGAATAAATACGTTGCCTGTTGGCATCCCTAAAGGTCGCTCGCTAGAATGCCACGTGAACTATCAAAATAAATATCTTTTTGAGGATATTAGTTTGTTTCGCGACCCGTCTTGATGTCTTTCATGTTGTCAGCCTGCCCGTCAACATGGCGGCAAGCAAGAGATAGCTAGCTAGGAGACAGACAGACAGACAATCCCCACCCCACCCCACCCATTCCAGTCTTCATTCGTTCGGGGAAGTTGACGTATATATATGTGTACAGATCTATCTATACAAGGTCCACCTCCAGCAACTAATTAAGTAATACTACGGAGTAGTTAACTAACTACTATTATTATGTATTATGTCTGCGTGTGTTCACCGCTAGCACATCAGAAAGGAACGAATTGTCCAGACGAAAATTGAACCAGGTTTCCCCTCCCCCTACGCCGTAATGCAAATCTGTCACTGCAAGACAGACCAGACCCTCCCACCGCTGAAAATCAAAGCGGAAGTGTTGCACACAAGTGGCCTCTCGAGAGACAAATTCGAATCGAATCGCGCGCATCTTGCCATCTTGCCGGGCAGAACAGAGAGCAAGGGTTGCCTTGTCTGTGCTTTATTTAAAATAATAATAATAAAAATAAATAAAACCAGGAAAGCCAAGAAGAGAAAATCCCATAACGTTTCAGAGGGTTTCACTAGTTATCTCCTTGATACGTAGGAATCTGTAGAAGACGAATAGATCATTGAATCCGCAGCTAACTATTGGCAAAGGAAGTTGACATATCACATACGCCGTAAGAGCGAGCTGAAATCCCAGGGGAGAGAGGGGGGGTGAAGAGAAAAAGAAAAGAAAAACATCGGAACAATAAATACCACAGATGACATGAAAATATGTTTCCTGCCTCCGACCCCACCTACAGCATTGCGGACATAATATATCCTGTCGATGTACAGATATACTGACATAAATATATGAAATATTTCGTCATTGGAAAAAGAAAGAAAACTCAATATCTACATAAGCTTTGGTTTGACGTCACGGCAAGGGGTGAGGGTATAGTGATGTAGAGCAAATATATAGATATATTCCGTAACTGAAAGGACGATTTTTAACCAACAAAAAACACAATATTTATATATAGAAAAACCCGCTTGAAATACTTCATCAAGAAAGGAACAATCCAGGCGCGGCCTCCTTCCGCTGCCCAAAAAAAAAAAAGAGTCAAAATATGCTCTCACGCTTTTCCCTTACCATTTCACTGTGTTAAAAGTGTTATGGTAATGTGAGAAGTTATATATGCCCAAAGGAGTAGCATGAATATGTGTATCTTCATTCTTTTCCCTCCCGCGCTTCAAACAGTGTCGTTAGTTTCTCACCACCTCGAATGAGAAAAAAGGAGAAAACAAAAAGCCAAGGATAAAGAGTAAGAAGATATATAAGAAATTGGGCGAGAAAGGAGAAGGATTGCAGCGTCAACAATTTATTTCCCCGGATGGCGCACAAGGAGGCGTGAGTAGGAAAGGGACAAAAACAAAGAAGAGGAGAAGGAAGGCCAGACAACAAAAAATCAAATTCAAGCCAAAGAGATTTGATCGTCCATATGATAAAATATGGATAATAGTTTAAGTGTATGCTACCCCAGCGATATCAATAGGAAACAAAAAATGGATAAACGAAAAATGTTCAAAAAAACGCCATGCTAGATTGATAGATCGATCGATCGATAGATAAATAACTAGGTCCATAGCGTAGGACAGTATAGTATAGTACCCTGGGCTGAGGTCAATAAAAAATAAACAACGAATAGAGAGCAAAATATATGTATAAGAAAAGAAAATGCTATCATCAAAGGCGACAGATTTCGGAGGGATCGGGAGGTGTAGGTATGTCCGTTCCTCCCTTTCCTTGTCCGTCGAACAAAAGGCGACAAAAGAGAAAAAGCAAAATACCCTCATTAGACACGCGCGCACACGCATGCGTATACACACAAATGGACAGCAAAAAGGGAGGCAAAATAGAAAACAAAGAAAAACAAAAAGACATGACAATGAGTGAGGAGAAAGAATAGTGGCTTTGTTTCAGTAATGAAAGTAATACTGTGTGAAGAAGTTTTTGGGAAGAGATTTGAGTAGGGATGAAAACAGGGATGGATGGAAACGCGAAGGAATGTATGTGCACATGTAGGGATGATATGATATGATATGGAAATGGTATTGTATATCGAGAACGGGTACGTGAGAAACGTATTTCCTGCCTTTCCTTCACTAAATCATGTCGTTAATGGAAATGAATAGAATACCCCAGCCCGACATATATGGCGGAAATAGAGAATGGTTGAGCGAGGTATCATCCAATTGGAGATTTGGTCAGGTAAATCAGGAGAACGTTTGTAAGCTGTGTTTTATATAGATGTATGTCGGAAAGCGGAATTTTTCGAAGGAATGAGTAGGAGGGCCGTATATATGTTTGTCCTTGTATGTGTGTATGTGTGTGTGCGCATGTGGAAAATCGACATCGAAGGTTAAGAAGTATGAACCAAGGGCTTTTCTGGAAAGGTCCAGATTAAGACCTGAATCCGGCTTTGACCTGAAAGGCGGTAATATCAATGGAAATAGAGGATACTGAGGAGCCATCGTCGACCTCGATGGCCGCTTCTGAACCGTCTGGCGTTCGCTTTTTCGTTTGCTTTCAGGATCAGCGTAGATTCTGGAGCAATCTTCTCAGGGTTCATCGGTCGTC